TATTAAATTTGGAGAAAAAAACATCCATGCTCTAGAAATATTGCCAATTCGTCTCGCGATTACAAGATCGCGTCGTATAAATTTTAACGATATAAGTTACACGATATCCCGGGGTGAGCGTGTTCGATATCGGAAAAAGTGGTTCACTCGTGAGAGTGAAAGCAATGGAAAAGTGAAAACGCATTCGTTGCATTCATTAAATGCGCGCCTGCACAGAATATTGCAATTAAATCGGACTGTCGTTTCAAGAACTCATGTTCGAAAGTCTAACTGAGATTCTCGCACGCGAATATCACAATATGAAATACCATACATAACACCTTGAGCATGTTTATATATTAGTAATGTTTTTTATTACACCTTGTTTACTATCAATATTAATCAATGATATTCGTATGTTGAGTCCGAAAAGAGCTTATTATTTCGATTTTCATGATCTTTATATTCCAGAACTTTATATATATCTTTCTTGACATGTCGATAGAGGAATAAACATGTCACATGCGACTTCTGCGTTTTTATCGCAACTTTCGCTCTGCCTATATTTTCCCTGAAAATAAGACTCGAGTATTCGGGACTTTTTCTTCCCTCGATTCGATCGTGAATAAATTGCGTGGGTCCATGGATAACCTGAATCGTCTATCATCGTTGAATCTGTGGGGTCATGTAAGCGAGCAAGATAAATCTCTCGCAAACGTGTCCAACGTTACGGATTATGTTTTGGTCATTTTTACGCTGGGGCGAAGATTGCCGTGGAGATAAATCTTATTGTTAGTAAGCATTGTGCTCATGTGCTTAAGAAAGAGAGAAACATTTTTCAGTTAGTGTTTCGATGCTAAATAACGATTCTATTTCTTTCACTATTTCAATCTTTCTCGATATATCTCTCACATTTTTCCGTAACCCTGATTTCAATATCTCGTTTCTGTTAACCTCAACATTTGATCGGTCTAGATATTGCACGAGTTGGTGTCAATCATGCATATTTTCTCTATTGTCCTTGCACATAGCGCAAAGTTAAATTGTCACTTTCTGTCTTGTGTGTATTCGTAATTTTTATTATATATATTTAAAAAATTGATGTTAATAGAATAAATATTAATGGAATAAATTATTTGTTTTTTGATAATTTTTGTATCACATATTTCTTACATGATGTATTTATCAAGATAAAACTTGTTTAACATCTCTTTTTTTAATACGAAATAAATGATATTTTAACGATAACGATAAGAATTTGATATTCTATGTCACATTACAAGTATAATAAGTATCAGATGATACAGAGGTATGCATTTCCGTGTCACAGATTGCAGCAATAATACTAATTTTACTAATCTTTGTAATCTTACTGATCGTACATCAGACTAATGTTGTTCGTAAAGGTTTGACGGATATCGCAATCCATCCGATAGAGAAAGAGCGAAAAGTGAGAGGAGAGAAACTCGCCTGTCGCTTGACATTGCTCGCGGCTGATAATGAGTGTTTGCTCTTTGTTGGCTCAAGGTCTTAGCTTCCCCTCGAACTGGCCAACTCTTTACGCGCACCGTCGAGCACAAATATTAATCCATACCTTGTGTGACGGCCAAGGATGGTAGGTCAAGGTGCAGTTACCCGTTCCTTGTTGTTTTCTACGTAAAACTTTCTCTTTCTATCGCGTATCATGTTTTTTGAGAATATGTAACAAGAAAGATTTCTTATATCGAAATCTGCGGTCGAGACTTGAAAAACTTTGCAGAAATATATTAGCTTAGCTTGAAGAAAAAAATTGTACAAAAAACTGAATTGAGTTCGTCAAAATTATTACTGCCACTTTAACGAACCAATTAATTATTTCACTTTCCTTAAGGAAAGAAAGACGTTTCCCAATGATTTGCATTTTAGTTATTTTTAGCATCCAAGTTAGCGGAACTTTAAAATGTGTTCTATATGTAAAAGAGATGTTCTATATAAGGTACATGCGATGAATTTAATTAAAGCAACTGCGTCTGAAATCTATCACGATGAGGATTACGATACATGAATTCGCCCCTAAGGGAGTACACTGAAAGATCCCTCGAGAATCAGTGGGAAAAAATCGCGAAGAAGTTCCTATGTAGCAACGTATGTGCCTCTTAAAGATGGTCGAAGGCCGTGCCGCTCGTAAATTTTCGGGTCGGTGAGGGGTGAAAAAAAAACCTGGGCCAGAGCGAGCTTATTTCGTGCGTGAGGATGGTTTTCGCGAGGGTCACGACCTTGCCACGTGGAAAACTAGAACGTAGAAGAAGGAGAGAAGGCTGTCGAAGGGCGGAGGTCGACAGGATAGGTCATCGAAGGACGAAAGTGCGTTAACCCGGAAGAGAGAGAGTGAGAGAGATAAAGAGATTTGAGAATAATAAAGGGGGCTCTTCTCTATACATATATATTACATCATCCTATACACACAACAATATAGAAAGATCGTGCTATAATCCGAACGTGAATCATCTTGAAAGAGATTATGTTGCTTAGAAGCTCCTTTTGCTGCTTAAAATGATAAAATAATTTTAATCAAATAATTTTTTTCGTCTACAAAAAAATTCAATGTGTCATGAATTTTTTTATATTTTCTAAAATTTTCATATTATTATATAATTGCGATTAATATTTTTTGGAGAATCAAAGAAACGATATAAACAATAAATCCATATATTTTAATTTTACCTGCAAAATGTTTGAGTTATAATTAATACCGATGTACAGAATTAGTTACAATTCTAAGAGTAAATCCGCGGAGAATCATCCCCGATGCGTCCGCGATTTATGTTTGTGGGGGCCGGCTTTGTATATAGAATCCAATTATCGGAAAGCCGCGGTGGAGGACATTATCTTCGCGGAGGAATCCTTCCAGCGACGTACGCGGCTCGAGGCTACCTTTTGACTGGTGTTCGAGAATGCGCACTGTCCCTGGGTAAGAGAAGTACATTCCCAGACGGGGTTTTAGCTTTCAGGACGCCCTTACATTACCAAGCCGCGTATCCAGCTTATTCCCGTCCCCCGCACTTCCGCTCTCTTCTCTCTTTCTTTCACGCATAAAAGCCTTACTCGCAGACTGTCTCGGCTGAGGAGTGCGTCCAAGGTCCAGCCAAGGTCGCAGATATATATTCGAGATCAGCATCTCCTCTTTTGATAATATTCTCCAATATCGTTAAAGAGACAATGAACAGTGCTCGAAATTAGCTGATGCTTGATGTATTTATTTATTTATTTTCTACCATTTTTAACGCAGAACTAAAAGAAGAAAGATAGAAAACGAGAATAGATCGATCGGAACTTAATCTCATGTATTCGAGAGAATTGAAAATACACAGATAATGTTATTCATTAAGTTAATATGCTGTATAATTGCTGCGGTACGGTAAGATACTCATAGCACGCGGCACTCGCGGATTAACGAGCGACCTTCGGGTTAACCGCGTTTGCGCTCCACAACAAGTTCTGTTCAGCGGTTTATTGTTAGTGGACGACTCCTTGTCGATCTCTGTCGGACAGCTTCTTTCTCGTTCTCTTTTTACCTGCTTAATCCATGGCCTGATGATACGCTGACCGACGAATGGTAGAGGTGTAGCCGACATCTGAGCAAATGCTCGGATTAACAATGTGTTGCAATTTCATGCATGTATCTCGTAATAACGAATATACGCTAAACAGAGCTTGTATCAATTTAGATATGCGGTTTCAAAAAAGTACTTTAACATAATAAAGAAATATCATGAGTCTGAGACCTGAAGACGACGTAACGTTCATTGCATATTGCATATATTAGAGTAAAAAGAAGATGCTAATCATGCCTTGATTCTTACATTATATCTTGAATTCGATTATAAATAAGTTAAGCGGATAAATTTGACTCATGTTTTTCACTCTTTAACCTGTTTGATATTTTTAGACGATAGATCGTCCTTTCGAAAATACAACGCCCTCTGATAAAGCAGTTATGATGGAGCGCATCGGCACGATGCTGCGGTCGAAGCGAAGTGCAGAGTTCACGATAGGACAGTTCATGTTAGCGAGAGAAGCAGGTTGCGTGGCAACCGCCGCCCACGATGTGCCACGCGCCTCCACTGTATAGATATAGGTAAAGGTATTTACGCGAACGCGCGGAGTGATTGCCGCTCCTGTTATACCGCACCTCATCGTAGGCGGATTTGGTGGATTAACGAAAGGGATCTCTGTGATAGCAGTTTCCATGTGGAAAACTCGGGAAAGCAATTACACAACTGGAGAACGCGCGGCTGTACTCCTCCATCGCGATTAATTCTCAGATGTCTATCATGATGTTAAATTATATCGGATTTTTCTCTCTCTTTCTATGCATATAAAACAAGTAATTATATCGAGAGAAAGATGTAATTAAATAATCATTCGATTCTTGGAACAATTTTCACTGAAAAATATATCGCACGTGTCGTGAAATTATTTTATGATCAGCGGGAAGCTTGATTGAAGTCTCGATAATCGCGTTCATAAATTCCAATCGTGTTCGTATCGAAATACTTACAAAGGCTGCATAAAAGTTCAAGGTTTCATTAAAAAAGATATAAACGTCAGAAAATCTAGTCTACACATGGATATATAGGATTATTGTAGAAATTAAATTAGAATTTTAAAAGCAAAGTAAAATATAATTTGCTGTTTTTAAAAGCACACAAGTATCTTTTCAAATGCAAATTTCAATATCTTTAATAACGATGGATGCCCGAACGGTTGCATAATTTATGTTCGATTGCTCAGAAGCGTCTTATATTTTTTACATATACGGGGAAAAGTATATTTAAAATTTTTATATATTCTTAATTATTAAATTCATAATGGTTAAAAGTTATACGCTTTGTTAATAAGCTTAGAATGTGGATAAAAATCATAATATAATATAAGGATAAGGATTTGAATATTTGTAGAAAAAAATGGATGGGATAAAAGATCTTAAAACTCGGAAGAATCGGAGAAATATCGGGTTAAGAGATAAATAAGAAGACAAATTTTTTTATGTATAATTCACCAGACAATGTTTATTCAGACGACCTCACAACTCCCAAGCGTACAAAATGACGTGCTCACTGGGCAATATGCGGGGCTGCATTTGTATTCTTGCATGTAGTAGAGTACGTTTTATATCCATATTTTTCGTTTTTTTCCACCAGAAACAACAGCTGTTTGTATTCTCCTTCTTAATGGATAGGGAAATATATCATACTTTATATGTATCGTTCACTATAATAATTATGTGTAGTTTATGCATAACAAGTATTACGAATATCAACGCTAGGTTGTCTGCGGGGGGAGGGGATAAGACAAGTGTTCGCTTTAGTGTGCATGTGTGTCGCTGTCGTGTAAATATGTCTGTCTTGCGTATATGTGTGTGTATTTTGTAAAGAGAGCCAGGAGGATTCTATACGAGGACTCGTTTGAGAACAAACGGGGATAGGTGTGATATCACGCTACACGGCGAAAAGGGGAGAAATGCACTCTCTTAAATACAATAAATACAGAGGCCTCTAAGCTGGGTGTTTAGGAATACTCTGGTTAGGCTATATTCTAGCTGGGGAGATAGACTGAAAGTGCCTTTGATGCCTCGTTCTGACGCGAATCAGCTTCCCTTTAATCTGACCGAACGCGATTGCATCTTAGCTTGCAATCGCCGGTCTATAGACCGAGATGTTACGAACTACTCGAAGCAAGTTCCTTCTAGATCGAATCAAGGAAATCTAGTCCGTCTCAAAAGGAGGCATAAGTGTTTCTACAACTGTCTCAAGATCAGTTTACTCGCTCAGCGGTGTTGTGGATTTTTATGCGTGTTTGATGCGATATTTATGCTGGGATTGAGATATGCGGATGGTTAGGCGGGGAACAGGGGAGAGGGGGAGAAGGAGGAAGGGGGGCAGGCGTCTCAACAACACGTCGGCGGCGGCCCGCCGCGTATCTTCTAACTTTTCCTCGCGATTTTCTCGAAGCAAAAGAGGTTCACTCGCGCCTATCAAGACATAGCCTTATGAATCTACTATTTACACTGCGTTTTACCATCAATCTTTCTATCGGAACTCCGCTTTGCTCGTGCGCTTCGCGGCTTCTCTCTCTCTCTCTCTACCTTTGTTTCATCTCTCACTCTCTCACTTTGTTTCTCTTTCTCGCTTTCTCTCTCTCTCTCTTTCTCTCTCTCTCTCTCTCTCATTCTCTCGCTCTTTCTTTTTCTTTCTCGCAATCCTATCTCGATCTATCAGACTTTCATGCATGCACACACGACACATATATTGTATAACGCGTTTAAGCGGGCCTACAATACCTATCTCGCTATACGGCGCGATTAGAGGATATAATTACTTTTCGAGTCGTTACTCCCCCGTTACGGAGAGACACGACACGTAGTGTATAAAGGTACGGTAATTGCAAACTAGTGGCCGCGGCGGGCCGATCAGTCTCATAACAAAACGTTTATATCTTCAAAATCGCGTGTGCGATTCTCTCTCTCGGTTGCCACCGCGATCAAAAAGCTTTTCGATTTGCCCCGACTCATTTGCACAAGCACGTTCACTCGTCACTCGCTCTCGTTTCATCTCATTCTCTCTACGTCTTCCTCTCGTCATTTGCGCAAGATTATCATACGTCTTTTTTTCTACACACGTACACGAAAAAATGATAATTTTTTTACGATTATAATACCTTACACATATTACAATAATATTAATTAGTTTTATAATATTCAATAATTATAGTAGAGTAGATGATCGATGAATGAGGTGGAGACTGTACAGGATGCGCGATTTCCATGATTATCACATGTAGATAGATTATTAATTTCTGTAACACTCAACCTTTTATTTTTTTTCCGTCGCTGATGCTCTATCTTCTAGATGTACACCTAGAGCAGATAGGTTTTAGGTAGGTAGACAGGTAGATAGGTAGTTTTAGGTGGATAGGTGGCTCCCTTATACGGCATCGTTGCTCTCATCGGATCGGCACTCAACGCGCAAGCGTCCGTCCACGATGTCCATCGTCGTTTCGCACACTCGAAAAAAAGCAACTCGCCACTGAGAATGTCTGTCTTCCTCATAAATATACGCGGAGATGTACTTCGTCCGTTCCTCCGTAACTTCCACCTCCTTTTTTTCGCGCGATTTTTTTTTTGTAGCAATAAGTAGTTTAAATTAATAAATTATTTGGTTTGTCACGCGCTCAGAGCGTCCTGGCACTTTCGCTTTTAGTTAAGAGCCGGGGAAGGTTATACCGCGTCACGACGACGATTAGCGCACGCTGATGGATGACAGGTGGATCGTGTATCCCGATTTAGTACGTGTCGTAGTACGTGTCACGGGAGGTCACTCGAGTTCGCGAGAACACTACGCCTCGAGGGAGAGGGCCTTGCATGGTCCGACGAGCGGTCTCGGTGATGGCGACGGGGATGGCGATTTCTTGGAGAGGTTTAGCGGTTGCTGGCTATCCGCGATATCGACTTGCAGCTCCATCATATTGGGCGGACAGCCAGCCAATACCAACGTAGCCGCTGTACTCGAGGTTGGCCTCGGACTCGTACTCGTACTGCTGGTCGCCGCCGCGGATAGATATCTCGGTGACGAAGCCGGGGAATTGCCAACAGCGAGATAGTCCGAGGAAGACTGCTGTTGTTGTTGTTGTTGTTGCTGCTGCTGCTGCTGCTGCTGCTGCTGTCGCGCGCCCGTCGTCGTCGTGATCACCGAAGTGGCCGGCCACCTGTTCGAGTAGCTCGTGGTGGCGCATTGCAAGAGACCCTGAGATCCTTGCGTGGTGCGCGCTGTCGCGGTAGTCGTCGATGCGCATTGCTCCGCAGGCGACGGCGATGCCGTGGGCGACCTGGGGCTGGCCTCGCCGCGCATGATATAGTTGTGTATGATGTCCGTGCGTTTCAGCTGCTCCGCCGTCATCCGCGGGCCCTCCATCAGGCTCCTCGCGAGGGTGGAATGCGTGCTGCTCAGCAAACTCGCCGTCTGCGGGCACTGGGGCTGCGCCGTTTGAGTGGGCGGACTTCGCGCCGGTGGCGAAGTCAAATGCAGATGCAGCTGAGACTGCGTGTGCTGGACCACCACGGCCGGCTCGGCTTCGGCGCTATCCTTCTGACGCAAAGCGCGGAATTTCTTGTGCGGCTTGTAAGCCTCGTCCATCAATGAATTGGTGTCGTACAGCGGTGGCGCCTGGAGCACGCGTTTCAGCACCGGCATATCCTCGACTTCCTTGTCCTCCGAACGCGGACTCGAGCATACGGACGTGGGTGCGCTGCTGGCGCTACTGCTGGCCGGTTTGTCGGGCTTCTCGGTGCCGGATTCAATTCCGCTGTCGCTTGGCGAATCTAGTTTGCGAAATCGCGGGCATTGCGGCGGCTGAGGCGTCTTCGACATGGTGGCGCGATGGAGTTCATCGTCGCCGGAGCTGGTACTGCCCGAGTTCGCTCGTCGTCTATGCGGGCAGAGTCCACCGGCTAAAGTGGCAGCCAGGAGAGGCGCGCTCGAGGCGTGATGACCGCTTGGTGGTGCAACGTGATGATATTCCGTCAAGGAGGCAACTTCGCCGCTGCAAGTGCTCTCGGTGCTCGATACGCTACCGAGCGGACTTTTCACCGCTTCGTCTAGAGTTACGTCGGAAGCGGAGCCCCAGGATGCCGGAGGCTCTTCCTCCATTGGCCAATGTGATTGTTGTTGAGCGGTGATGACGTGCGTTTGCTGTTGCTGCTGCTGCTGGTGCTGCTGTTGAGCCTGCAGTTGTTGTTGCTGCTCGGTCATTTTGAACGCCAGGAGTTTTTCCGAGTGGAGGGTATTCAGAGTTCTTAGATCAGGTATCTTTTTCAGTAGCTCGCGAAGAATGTCGGGATGCTGGGGATGATTCTGCGCGAGTACCGTTTGTAGAGCGTTTCGGAGCTTATTGTGCATACGTTCAACCAGTTCGGTATTGCGAAGCCCGGGTCTGTCGGCGGCAATCACCACGACCGAGCAGAACAGTCCCAGCTCGGCGTCGGATAATCGCAAGGAATTGACCCTCTCGGCAAAGTCGAACATCGAGTCCATTAGAAATCGCGCGTTACTACTATTGTGGATGGACTCTCGCTTGAGCACCTGGCCGTTTAAGCAGATCATACTGTTCGTTTGAGCATCGAACATGCAAGCCAGTCGCACGAGCAGCACCTCGAAAACGCCGGCCTTTAGTAGCGTGACCTGATCGTCCTGAGCCAGCAGGCTGAATCCAGGTATGCGTTTCGCGAATTCGACGACGCCGCGTATAGCTGGCGAGAACCTCTTGGAGAAATCCTGTAGCAGTTCCTGCTGCCCGGTCAGTGGTTGCGGATTAGGATTCAAGGGGCATGCCTGTAACAAAAGAAACGAAATTCCGAGGTCAAGAGACGACGAATCGTTAAATCACATCGAAGGTCGTCCACGTCGCGATTATCGGAAGAGCGTACCAGACGTCCTCGCGAGAGGAGGAGAGACGAGACGAGACGAGACGAGGCGAGACGCGGCGAGACGAGACGTTTACGCGGGTCTCGCTTCCTCCTTCCCGGTAGCCAAGGTCGCCTGGTTCTCGCGCGATTTCCGCGTAGAACGCTCGAAAGATTAAGACGGCCCAAGGCCCGCGGAGCTATTGACGTCAGCATAGACGCCGACTGTTCAAATCTTAATGCGGCGCGAAACAGCTTGCGTAACCCGCTAATGTCAAGAGGAAAGGTCGAGCTTGTTTACCAAGGTCGGTGGACACGCGGTGTAGTTGGGGGTCTCGCGAGCTCTGGCGAGGATGGGAGCCACTTTGTCTCTGGTAAAGTCGCATGTGTCGAGATGGGCTCGCACCACGGTCGCGAGGAGACGTTGTTCATCCTCCAGTTCGGCCGCTACCGCCTTCTCCTGAGAACGGCTGTGGGAGCTCTGCTGCATGGCAGCCAGAATCCTGGCCTTCTCGCGTTTTGGCACTCGGCCGAATCGCACCGCTGTAATCAGAAACGGATAATCATGGGTTAGATGCGCCGCGAAGCTCGTACGTCGCGCGCAAAAGGAAGGACGATGATAAATAGTTAATGCGATCAATGGATGAATCATGTAACGGACCCGACCGCTATCGCGAGATGACCTTCGCGCCAACGAACGTCGACATTCGCGTGATGCTCGCGCACGAAAGAGCGACGAAATTCAACAAGACGAGTCTCTCTCTCTCCAGCTAGAATTGAAATCGACGGCTGTCGCTTGGCGCGAGTACCGTCAGATATGGTTTTCGCTCTAAAGGTGAAAAAAAGTCAGAGGGGAAAGCGCACGACTTTCTCGCGTCAAGAGATGAAAGTGCGGCGTGCGAGCGGCCGCTGTTAGAAAGTCCTTGCTAAACGTACCGATCGCTATCACACGTCGCATAAACATTAGAACCGTTATCGTTAGTATTCGACGGGACACCTACGTGCATTGTGATAGTTGACTACTCCGTTGAGGATCCCTTTTAGAATCGGTAACTCGTCTCCCATGACGATCCCACGACCAACCGCGTTAAGCGACGAGATGAATTTTCGGATTCGATTGCACTTTGACACACGTGGCTGTAACTTATATCGGCAACCAGAAAATCACCACCGCCCGACACCGCGATCTTCGCTGTCGCGCGAGAAAGCTTCCCGGGGAAACGTTGCCCTTGCGCGACTAACGATCATCGAACGATCTTCTCGGCTGACTCGAGACACGAATCACTCCGGGCGATCGCACGGCGGGGTAGCGCGTGCCGCGAGGAAGAGATTGCTCCGACTTTGAAGAACGAGCGCGACTAGTACGCGTGCAGACACGAGACAGCATCACCGCCGACTGAGTGATGATTCCGCGGGTTGCGTTCAACAGCCCCTCCACTTATTCAGCCATCAACGACCCCCACCATCGCGCGCGATTGTGGCCTTTGCCGAGCCTTTGGCCTTGAACTTGGTTTCAGCGACAGCCGCACGAGGCGTACCGCCGACCTATATACGCTGTATAGCGAGCAAATATACGACGCGTCAAGCGTAGCGTTTAACGCGAGGAGCGAGGAAGATGGTCGGATTTCTCTTCCATGCGCAGATGCGAACTTCCTTTGTCGGGGGTAACTTACCCTCGACGACCTTGGGCAACCCCTCGCTGGCTACCTGCCCTGTCACCAGCTGTCGATAGTCGGCTTATCTATTTGCGGACTATCGATCTTTAACGTTGAAAATGTGTCGACCTTATAAACTAAAGCGAAGTCCCGATTCCTTATCAATTATCATCTCTTCGATCTTCATTTTAGAATTTGATTTACGACTTAATCAGGAGCCCCATTAAACAACGATAGCGTATAAATCTGTATCAAAGTACGCGATGGACGCGTAGGAAGTGTCCCGCGCAAAAGTCAAGGTGACGACTTGATCGATATCAATTCAAGAGCGCGGTCTCTCTCGGTATCTTTCCTTCCATTCGGAGTCAATTTCGCACCCAAAAAAAGATTCGCTTCAACTTCTCGCGGGGTACAAAGCCGTTGTCCAAGTCGCATTCGCGAAGACGCGCGGCCTCTTCGTAAATTCCGAGTGTCTCGAGAATACAGCGCGTCGAGGGTGGTGGAGAAGACGCGCCCGGTCATAATGACGACGAGTTATCCGCAGCAGAGCGCGAAGCGCTATGACCAGTTAGTCACGTACGGCTTTGGCCAGACGGCGGCCCGCGACGGGAGCATGCGCCTACCGGCCAGGTGGATCCGCGGCCGTAGAAGGGGAAGAATTGATACGCGAAGGAGAGGAACGTACGTCGGGGAAGGGGAAGGTAGTTATGAGAGAAGCAAAGTTCGCGAGGTCTCCGCACCAAGTGTAGCGCCACGCGACGGCGCGGCATCGGGACGGTGAGGACGGCGCGTTCCGCGACCGAAGAAGCCGAGACGCGACGAGCCGGGGAAAGGAGCGCGTGGTGGGAAAGGAGGGTGGAAGATGGTGGGAGGGTCAAGCGGGAGAAAGGGGGGACGTGTAGCGGTGAGTAGCGGTACTCTTTCTATGGACTTGGAGTCATCCGCCAGACGAACGCAACGGCCGTTTATTGACCCCGCGAATCCCGCGTTGATATCGTTAGGCGCGTTTTTGCATCCATTTTTCGAGCGAGAGGTCATTTTGGCGCCATGCTTTTCAGTCTCGCAATTCGTAGATCGACCCTCTCGGTTTTTCTCCTCTGTAGTCGTGATTATTAAAATATCGCGGATTTGAAAATCTGCCGAAATTAACGAATATCGCGGTCTCGTATCTATTTAAAGGAGAGCGAGTTCTAATTTCGTCCAAGGCATATATATATGTGTGTATATATATATATATATATATATATATATATATATATATATATATATTTGCGCCCGCCCGACATGTCGACGACCTAGGTCAATGATCTCGGCGGGAGATGCTGCGAGGCATCGCGCGCGCAACTGAATTCTCGCGATTATTCGAGGAAAGAGCGCGGTTAGGATTTGATTGATTCGTCGAAGAAAAGAAAGCAAGATTCGCTTGTACGCCAATCGCGAGAGATAATCGCCGTTGCTTTCTCAAACGGCGCACTGGCCACTTTCGCCCGTTGCGACATTCTGCCGTGTCGCGGGGAACTACGTTACGCAAACGGTCAATGACCCGGCAAACTAAATTTTAGAAACTCCTTTCGCGAAAAATGCACACGGGAAAGGAACGCGACGTTTTACTTTTAATCTCGCGTGATAGCGAGCTCGGCCAAAATGGATGATTTACTTTACAAATATTCTTGTAGGACTTGAAATTATAATACACAATATGTTTCGCATCTGAAATGTTTTTCGCATTCGAGAAGAAGAGAAGAGAGGCGAAAAACGATTTTAAAATTTATCACATGATTATTTGAGATACAAGATGAGCTAAAATCCTCAAATTTAATTAATCGCGACGTTTCTTTGAATAACTGATTGGTTAATTTTAAATTTTAATGAAAACGCGACGAGACGAAAAATTAATCTCTACGTGTAAAATGTTTCAGACTCACCATCACGACTCATGCCGACGGCGATGCACTTTTTGAGACGGCAATACTGACAGCGATTCCTGTTGATCCGGAGGATGCTGCACTGTTGATTCTTGGTGCACGGCCGATACTGAATTTTCTGCTGGATGCTCCGGCGGAAAAAGCCCTGCGAATCACCAACAAAACCCTCGTCAATCTGACCGTCGCTGTCCGACGAAGACCCCGATGAGCAATCGGTCCCCGAACGCGGGGCGGCCAGATCACATTCGCACAAGCACCCCATTAATTCACTCCGGCTTAGGAAAATAGAAATCGCACGGCTGTCTGAACAAATGTGCGAAAGTCTGTCTCGTTCAACGATATTATATCACTCGGTACGTGTTCTTGGACCCGAAACTGATGACGCTACCTAGGCGAGAGTATCCTCTGCGAAAGCGGCAGACCGTCTCTGGCGACTCACGTAAGTCACTATGTTTCTCATGTATAATCCGCATTCACCAAAACTCGCGTATAGTCTCTTCTCGGCTCGCGGCGAACGCGTTGTACCAAAGTACAACGCGAGTTTTCGGAGGGGAAAGAAGCGACCGTTTGTATCGAAGCTTGGCTGTGGACTGGCTCTTTCTAGCACAGAGAACATAGAGCCTCGGCACATTGCCTCTGGCATGCCGAGGTGGGGGACACTGTGACCTAATTCCCGGACGTTCACCCGCAGTTCACCGCGTGAAAGTGAGAGTCCCCCTTGCGCGCACTGGCGCTCCTCGGCCGTCTCCCTCTTTGAGTTCTCTCTTTCTCCTAGTCTCTCTCTCTTTCTCTCTCTCTCTATCTGTCCCTCTCCCTCTCCCTGTCTCTTTGTCTTTCTCTCTTTCTCGCGCTAGAGCGAACCCTAGATAATGTCTTCCTCGTCGTATCTACCGCGAACGCTACCATAGAGGCTCGCGGGCGCTCTACTAACGGGTTTCTTCCCTCTCTTCTCCCCACCCACCGTCCGGAGCCACCCTCTCCGAACGACCTGCCCTACCTCCGTCTCTCGGTTCCTACCCTCGCGCTGATACCCCTCTGACATCCACCCACTCGCAAATATAAGCGCGAATATAGAGAAATCTCCCTTGCTATATATGTATATATTTATAGGCGTCCCTTTTACCTCTCAATCTTGTTAATCGCTCAGAGATATCCGGGAGGAGGGTGAGAGTCGAGGATGAATAAAAATTAGGGGTAGGTTAGTGCGCAAAGATACTTCTCTCGTCGTACGTATCGGTCGACGACCTCGCGAGACGATTACGTAACACGCGACAACGCGTGGGGGACCCTTCGTGAAGCTTCCATGTACGTTACCGTGGTCGTCGACGTGTCGTGTCGACGATCGCGCGTGTATGCACGTACGCGTACGAAAAGTTGGCGATGCTCGTCGTCGGAGTAACTCCGCTGCGTGACGTCAGACGCGCGACCTCGCCTACCTCAACTTCGTGCGGAGCATCGTCGAGAGAACGATGTACCGTTGCACCTCCGCGCCCGGGCTGTCAATCGGCGCGAGCGTTTGATGCAAGTCAATGAACTGTCAGTGTTGCCAATGCTAAGCATCGCTGCCTGCGATCATTCCGATCGGTTGATCCTTGGAACGAGAAGGCAACTTGTTTCGAATGAAATAACGTAATATAAGATTCGAAGAATCCAAATTCTCCTTCGATTCAAATTTCTTTCCAGAGTTTGACGTCGTTGCAAGATATTTTGCATTATATGTAAAAATAATGGAACAATTATGCTTTAATTAATTTGTACGCTCAAGCGAGATATATCGCAGAATGGCAAGTCTGACAAGTTTTAATTCGAGATATTTACTTTTTGTGAAAAACGAAATTACAGCGAAGTGCTATCGGGCCACGAGCTAGCATCGTGGATGCCCGGACGAGGCCAGCAACCCCTGTTGAACCTCTCGGTCGGCGGGAATCCGACAAGCGAAGGGTGAAGGAGGTGTGTGGGGGAATGCGGTGCATCGATCTCTTGAACCGTGCATGGCCCGTGACGGGTCAGGGGGCGACCACCTTTGCGCGTTACCTCAAGTTGTTCGGTGTCTTGTTCTTAAAATCCTTACGCGAAAAAAGCAGAGAATCGAGAGTCCTTTAGCTGCTCTAAAAGTATTTCCAAAGGTTCCCCAATTTTTTTTATTTGATTTTTTTAATTGTTATTTCTCACATTGATCGTATTATTACGTCATGGCGTATTTCAGCCTGTGGAAAATTAAAGAAGTCTTGGTACAATATTTTTTTAATCAAAATTTAATTGCAAGCAATAAAGACTTGCAGAAATGAGTTTTCTCAACGTGACGAATGGAGAACGGAAAATTTGATTTATTATACGTGAACTCGATTTTTAAATATCGACGACAGAAACGTTTCTTCTTCCACAATTTCTAACAATGATTATTAGATTTAACAATAGTTTCGGGAAAAATACATCGAGAAAGAACCCAACGAAATGCCACACTCGCGTCTCGCTCGCTTGCATCCGCCGAAACTTTCGCCGCATTGAGAAAGTTCTGTTATTCTCCGTTCTCCATTCGTCACGTTGAGAAAACTCATTTCTGCAAGTCTTTATTGCTTGCAATTAAATTTTGATTAAAAAAAGATTGCACCAAGACTTCTTTAATTTTCCACAATGTCGGCTGAAATACGCCATGACGTAATAATACGATCAATGTGAGTAATAACAATTAAAAAAATTCGCGCCTCTAATCTTTGGAAAAGCTGTCGCGCGATCGACGTGGAGATTTGGCAGGACCATCGTTGCCTAGTTAGGTACTCCAATTTTATTTTCCGTGGAAGCGCAACGACGACAGCGGTAGCTGGCAGGAACGACGGTGACGGTGTACATGCTTGCATATGAGGCACATATATAGGTAAAGAGAGTGTGAGACATACACACGATGTGGTCGCGGGGCCAACGACCGGAGCGCGCGACTACTGCAACGGATGGGGGGTCGGGGGTGAGGAGGGATGGCGATCTGTGACCGAGGGACGGTAGGGGAAGGTGAGCGTATCTGCTACGGAGAAAGAGTGGGGGCGGGAGGTACCATAGTAAAAGTAGGAGGTAGAGCTGGCGAGGGCAGGAGAGGAGGACGCGAAACGGAGTAACGGTGACGTACGTAACGCGCGCGCGTGCGCCGCTCCAACAGTCGCGACACTCTCCGCTCCGAGGGCATTAACCGCTCGCTAGCTCGCTCTAGCACTCTCCTACGACCCCAAGAATTTGCCGTTCTATTCCGCTGCCCGGGCATCGATATCGGTAAAGTCGATCGCGGAGGTCAGAGAGGCTCGGCTTCTGTGCGCGCAGTTTTGCATCCTGCTGATATCACGGAACGATAACGGCGATACGGCCATTTAATTATAAAATTGGATATCGATCTCTTATCGATTAATCTTGCATTAGAAAGATACGCCTCCCGAATATCCTATATATCGGTGTTTAAACTGCTTATCTGTTGATTTATCGATCATTAATCTTGGATCGACCTCAAAAGGGGAATCGATATTTATCTGCGGATCGCGTTTATGTGTAAAATGATTAAAAATTAATTGAGGATTTTTGTCGGTAACACATTTTTTCTCAATCTTCCTCGCGACCGACGAATCGAATTGTTAATGCGACGAGACGCATCCGCGTAAATTACGAATCCCCTCGAGGCTCGTGGGCTTACAGATACGTAATAATAAATACGCGACGCGTGTCGGAAAGGCAAGAATGATCTATTGTACTTTTCGTCGATAGTATCATGTTTCGCGGGACGAATTTATCGGGTGTAAAAATTGCGGCGGTCCGATTTCGCCCGGCGGGGAAGCGTTATCTCGAAGAGCTCCCGCTCTGGTGGACAGATACCACGTCGAGCGAACACCTACCACGATAATAAGCGACTGACCCGATTCTAAAGTAGATGCACCGGGGTCAGTAACCTCAAGCGAGCACCGAAATACTCGCGCAATCAAATGAAAATGAGATCGCGACTCGTTACGACGTCAAAAATGACGGTTACCCGAGAGAGGGGGGAAGAGTGGAGGAAGGCTTCCCCACGGGAAGGGGTGCGCGGAGAGGATAGCGGAATGAGGGAGGAGGAGGAGGGAGAGTGACGTAACTGACTCGGAGGGTCGACGACCGGAGGGTTAATGCACCGGTCGCCTGATTTCAACCCTCCGGAAAAAGCGTCGACGTGCACCTCCACCGATGATTGTTTTGTCGCGAAGGTTTAAAGAGGAACTCTACTGTGTTAAAGAATCTCATTTTTCTCCCAAACAACACTTTTTCATCTTTTCGAGAAAACTGGTTACACAAAAGAATATTTCGGTATTATATATTATATATAAGTAGTGCTCAGTATGATTTTCCATAATTTGAGATATTGAACGAGAATCGAGTAGAGATATATTTTGTTAATTTTAATTTTTTTTCCCAATTGAAAGAGAACTCGCGTTCAACATCAAGAATGAAAACAATGCATATTTATCTTTTTAATAATTTCATTTACCATTTTGCATGTTTTAAAATTACCAAAAATTAATGAAAATATTAAACACTTGAAGATAAATATTTATTTCAAATCTCTGTACCGTTATGGTAGCAAGAGTAGAACAATAATAGCACCGTTTGAGTATTTTCGAACTGTAATCGATTTAACTCGGATTGAAATATTTAAGAGTGTGCATCTATTTTATTCTTCTTCACGATTCTTTAATAAACTGACAAATTATATATTTTCGATACTAAATTAGGAAGAAAATCCTGCAGAATAATGTGTTGCATATTTAGATTATTTATTTATTTAACACGTGAGCTATTAAATAGGTGCATCTTTGAATCCTGATAATTTGACATTTGATATTTTCGACATATCAACTTTTGTCGATTTTCAAAATATTCTCGAATATATACCGGTTAATAGAAATTGTATAAAATCTCGTACTTTGCGCGTGACGCTGTGTTACATTGGCGAGCTTTTTCCTACGGTGAAATTAATATCTCAGTGTTGCAATCCGCGTAACGCGAGGAGAAAAGTAGCATACTACCGATGAGACGGTAGAGCGAAATAGTGCAACAGTGGTGCGACCGAGCGACCTAGTCTTAAAGATATCCAACACTCTTCCGCGTTCTCTTCCCTTTCCACACAGCTCCTCTTCCAGTACCTTAAGACGGTCTACCGCTAGCGGCTAGGTCACTCGGTGGAGACTCGTTCGGTTTAGCGCCTCTTACGGCGCTGCGGCCATAAGTTACTGACCTAGTCAACCAACCGGGGGCCATGACTCTGCCCGACCGATTAGTCTCTCCAGTGAATTTCAGGCGTTGGAAAGGTGGTGGAAAGTGGAAGGACGGATAGAGGGGACGGAAAAATCCTTAGCCAGGTGTTTCCACATGGAATGCGGCCGATCTAGTTCTTTCTTTTTTCATGTCCTACAATAGAAGCGATGAAAGCAGAAGTACCTGCTCCGCGCCATGAATTGAAAGGTCCTTCCGATACTCTCACCTTCCCGCGGTTACAACGATGATCACTGGGTTTTTGGTTGACCCAACTCTATCTTTTATCTCCCTTCTTTCGGATCCTCCACCATAAAATATCTATTGCCGGTTCCGTTCGATGGGGACAAGTTATTAATCTATTATCGCTCTCTAAAAATTGCGTTTAAAGAGTATGCGGCTATTGTTTTGTCTAATCTCAACAATTATTATATTCAATATATCCGCATTGAAATCATATTATAATAATCAAATAATGGATTAATATATTAAAGAGCTTAATCAATTTTAAAAAACCGACAAGGATAAATTGAAATATAAAATCAATAATAAATATAAATATGATTATCAAGTTCTTTAATATCGTAACAAACTCTTGGAGATATTTTTATCTATAATAATAAATATTTTATAAAATATCACGTCGTAAAATTCATAACAATTGCATTCGAATCGGAAGCATATAAATGCGTATATCTTGGGTAAAAATTTGTAAAAGTAACCGTAAAGATTGGAAGAAAGATGACGATACGAAGCTGCCGCGCGAATGGTCTAAGTCGATCTGCGAGCGCGAACGATGCACAGCACCTGGTAGTATAACCACCTCCATCGCATCGCGTGTCGATGGGAGGTGGTAAAGTCGGCGGTGGGTAGTGGCGCCGTTCCTTCACTTCCTAAAACGCGGCGATAGCCAGTGCTATCCCACTTCCGGCCGAGTGTGTTGAAAGACGCGCGTACAGTCGAAACAAGAGAGACACGTCAAAGTCGGAGTATGATTTAAACAATTCGTGTAAACATTCGCGTCACCATTCGATCGAATGTTTATTATAATACGAAGATAATTAAAACACGAAATGCAACGATACTTGTACGATCTGAATGACATTTTTAGTATCTTTGAGCCCCAACTATCTTCTCGGCAATTTTTCATTTAGTTAGAATGTTAAGCTGTTAGGTCTGAAAATTGCTGACAGAAAGGGGATCTTTAGAAGGAATTTGAGATGTCACCCTGCTGCGAACCTTCTTCTGAATCTCTTTAACACGAACAATCCTTAGTGATAAAAAATCACATTTTCCGCCTGGTTTCACGCAAAATATATTACGCAATAGTTAAGTTCTTCCTTTCATCGTTTCTTTTATTCTTTTCCTGGAAGCGATGGCGACTGAGTAACATGAAAAATGGCGCAGAAGAGTAGTGAACGTCGTCAATTTTAAAATATACAAGGAAATGATTGATGTTTTTAATAATAAAAATAATAATAATAAAATAATAATAAAAAATAATAATAATAAATAATAATAATAAATAATAATAATAAATAATAATAAAATTGCACTAATCTTCATAATTGATAAAAAGTTCGACAGTCAACGGTCGCAATAGCCCTGACGATACGTAAATCGAAAACCTTGCCGATTGTGGGGGGACTACCGGGTCGTGAAGTAATTTCAAGGACCATCTCAAATCTCTTATGATTTCCGCGTGACCAAGGTTAACCCGTGCTCGGTCGACAGGTTCCTATGTAGCCTTGGTTTCTTGTCTCACGCATATTTACATTCACGCACTTTACATACATTCCTATTGGCCGTCTCGCGCATCTGCAATTTCGATATTCTTCAAGATATTTGTAGATTTTGAAAAACAAACAATTTTAAAACAACAGATTCTCTGGACAAGTTGATCTTACTTTAATGGAAATTTGATCACATATATATTTCTTGATTATATATATTCTATTACTTTTGATATATTTTAGACTTTTAAAATAATCTTTAATTAAAATCTCTTATTTCCGTCAAATTTTTGTACCTTTCGATTACAAGTAAATATTGATATCTATGTCAATAATATAAAGCAAGATCAATTTTCTCAGGAAAACATCTCGGCAAGCGTATCGAAATCGCTAAAACACAGCTCGCACTGTGATCGCTTGTGCGACATCGGATCCCGTCAGCGGAATGTTTGATTCGAAAATTCGATTAGACATTGTAACGTAACTCTTTTCGAATCGACGATAACGCTGACAGAATCGCTACGTAACTGACAACTGATCCGTCGGTACTCACCTTGCATCCCTCGCAGGAATGGACTCCATAGTGAAAACCGGACGCCTTGTCACCGCAGACTCGGCACAACACGGTGGTCCCGTCGAATTCTGAAACAAACGAGAGAAGCGCGTCCCGTTAATGCAGGTCGTCGCAACGATATCCTCTCCCGCGGCTTCCTCTCCACGTGCGACTGCGAGAGAAAGGTGGGAGGGAAAGAAGAACACTTTCTCCTCTCTCAGGCGCGCGTGCGGCTTGTTACAGCATCGCCGTATTATAACTTTCCGCTTTCACCGGCGGTCCTACCTATTTTTTTCGTCACGCTCGCACGCGCCTGCCTTAAATTGCATTACTTATCACGCCGTCGAAGAGATGGCGAACAATTGTCGCGTATTGTCGCGTACCTATATTGAGTTCGGGCTCGGGTTTAGCGGAGGAGACCGTTGAATCCATCGTCGGCATGCTGGGGCTAAGACGATGAGCGGCTACGTGCATCACGTGAAACGGACTAGACATGCCCTGAGCCGGTACCCTTGGCACGCTGGACGCGCGGGACGCGTGGCTGGACACGCCGGCGACTAGCGATTCGGATGCGGGTGACGTTGCCAGCGTGTCCTGCGCGCTACTGTCCGCAATAAGGATCATGTTTCGAGAAAGGAAGCTATCGCCTCGTCAGTGTTCTCTCGTCCTGGACGGAAACTCCATCCGTTTCGCTCACGACACTGCACTGACAACGATCAGGTCCACATTCGCGATATCGGTCCACTGATTCTCATCTCGCTCTCACTGTCACCACGCTCACTGATCGGATCACTAACGAATATCGATTCGGGCGCTCGCGCGCCAACTTCCGCTCCGCGGCGTGCGAGAGATCGGTACGATCTGCGGCCGTGCAAAGGTTACGGCCAGGTGTTATAGCGATGCTCGCCGGCAGACGCGACGAATGGTAACCTGAAGAGAGAGTGAAAGTAAGTCTTCGCTCGAGGGAGGTTCGCGTTGGTCTGACTCGTGTTCGGCGCTGCCGAGTATTGGTTACCTGGGGGCCGTGCAGCCCTTACTCGGCAACTCTGACCAACTCGAAGGTGGGGAGGGATTGATGTGCCTGCTCGCTTGCCAGGCTATCGCAGGCTACCTCGACCATCTACAATGTCTACGCCCTGGCTACCTAGTATGTAGTAGAGGACACCCAACACCGTGCTCCGTACGCTCTCTTACAGGGCCCCCCGAGAGAGTTCATCGTATTTTCAATGCTGGAGGTCACTGACAAGTCGCTGCGGGCCCCCAGAGCTGTGCCGTCGCGACCGCGACGGGCCCGACCAATCGGTCGTCGGCTCGACGGGCCCTGCAGTCGCGCGATTGGTCCGGCATCTTCCCCACCGCATCTACCGCGACCAGCCGGCGGGGTCTCCTTCCTCCCGTTGGAGGAAGTTCATCGGCCGAAACCTTGACTGAATTACCCCGCAGCGGCGGCCAAGGCCATGCGCCCTCTCGCTCGAGCTAACCGCGAGCGTAGTGATTGTCGCGTTGCTTTTCCGTCTCTCTCTCTCTCTCTCTTTCTCTTCCTCTCGCCTCTCTTTCTCTCTATTCCCACACTTGCTCCTCTCTCTTTCCTTATGTCTCTATATCGCGCGAACGTTCTTCCTCTTTGCTCTTTTTTTCCTTCCTTCTTTTTTCATATTAGTATATACTATATACAACCGTCCTCTTTTTTTTCATCGCGATATACGCTCCGCTTTGTTTCCTCGTACTTTCCTCCTCTCGCGCGCGTGAAAAATTTTAATTCTTGCGCAAGGATTTAAGAATGTCATAATTTTTATATTACCAAAGAATTATTCGTAATAACGTCAGTTGTAATAATTTAGTCTAATTAATTTGATTGATCTAATTAATTTGATTTAATAAAATATTATATAAAATTTGTCATCAAGATTCACATTTATGAACGAAAAAATGACCGTCGCATATATGTTTGTACGAAAAATGTGATGACGATTCGACATACTCGCTGAATCAGATTGAAAGATCAAGTTGAGGTCGCTATTTTAACATAAATATACTTGATGTTCCGATCGCATTCTCATAGCTGTTTATCGGTTTTCTTACGTCGCATCAAATTACTGCTGATAAAACCGAACCGGATATCAAACCTACTAGTTATTGATTCTCTTTAGTTACGCAATAAGAATGGAAAAATTTCGCTTAAATATTAAAATAAGCTGCGCATGTATAAAACTAAATTTACTAATTATTAATAAGTATTTCTTATAAAAAAATTAAATATTTGCGGTAATCAAATCTCAAACTAAATTACTATTTATGCAAAATTATTTAGTTATCTAATAATATTTGATTATTTAATGATGCGCAAGAGAAAATTTTGGAGAAAAATATGCTTTTGTATAGAAAAAAATAAAGAGCGAGGTCAATTGCACTGTTGTAAACTCACGACAAAACAAATTGCGTTAATAAAAATGTGTCTTTTACTCCAAACATCCTTTGGACTATATTTTTTGATTTATTGTCAATATTATTACTTGCTTATACACACGAAGACAATTGTCGAAGACAATTAAAATTCATACATTTATAAGATTATAAATGCACAGGACAAAACAAATTTTTCTTTACAAGGACACGTTGTACAATATACAATAGGAAGGTTAGCAATCAGGTTCAAAGGGACAACACATTGAGGAAAGGGTTATATGATTTTCTATACTATCGAATCTTCGATTTTTAAGGCGATTACTCGGTTTTTTCTCTTTTACGAAAATATCGTGTTTCCAGAACCTAAAATATCCTGCCATGGAAAATCTTTGAATGCACTTCCTGTCAGTCTGAAGAATCTGTACGGCTGCGAATCGAATGTGAACATTTGAGGGTATTGAATTATGCGAAGATTTCCGTAATGCCGTGTCAACTTTACTTTCATTATTACAAAATAATTCGTAATATATTCGTAAATTATATGAGACAAACATTCGCATTGATTCTCCTTATGTTTCATCCCAGGTTGTATAAATGAAAAGTAAAAATGTAGCTGTATTTTTTCATTCTATCGCGCTTCCTGTAAATGGTTGCGATGTATTATCTAGTATTTTTGAAAGAGAGTTGCTCTTTGGTTAACCGACGCTTATTGAGCACAATAAATCGTCTCTCCGTGAGGTAGATTTACGCGCCTATTTTGTTGAAACATTTCTTCACGCTCTCTTACTCGGCTACGAACTCGGACAGACCTCGAATGTAATGGCCGCGACGACGGAGGTCAGACGATGGCGTTTCCTTGAAATCGGGTAGTGACCTGCAGCCACGCACATTTATATGCAACGAATACACCATGACCCTCGCATCTATTTTTAATCGATCGTACTGTAAAGCTATCGCACGTGTTGTTATTACGTTCTTTTCCTTTAAGCATCGTGTCAGAGAATATTACAATCTCGGACGTGAAGAGAATTTGATGGCTCATCTTCGCCGACACGTTTCATAGAATGTTGAAATATAATTGTGCGGATTATTTTCTTCGGGATAGACGCGCGAATAATTATTATGATAGTCGATGATCCTCGGGGGAAAAAAATTAATAAGACTAATAAAAAAATTTCACAACGTTGGATCATTAATTACGTCGCATTCATAAAGACGTAGGTGAGCTTCTTCGCTTTGCCTGGTTCTCGCGTTTGAATTACATGACTTTCCGCCTTCGCGTACAGCTTAATGGATTCGTTTTAGCAATTATGCAAATGGGATTATCGGCGTTTGCATTGTGTATCAAGATGATTCGCGATTCCTCGGTCTCGCTGTAATGGAATAGTAACGCGCAGCGATGCATGTAGAGGAGGCGCGCGGATAAAAATGTAACAAGCAGAGCCACGTAATTAGAGGTTGCCTCTCCGCGGAGAGCCAACCGAGGATTGCATTGTCTACCGTCCGTGTCCTTGGCACTGAGCGACCGGTCGCCGACTTCATCGTCGCTTTGCCTCCATCAAGATTCCCGGCTTCCTACCAGCTTCTGATTATTGCACAATCACGATGCAAACGTCAAAGGTCCCACATACTATTCGTTCTGACGGAATAGCTTGATTCTTTCGTCCATGAATTTTTTACTAAATCATTTGTACCTTAAACCTTCGATTTAAAAAGAAGGCGAGTCAATTTATCACGACGGTTGCGCTGCATAATTGTCGTGCGAGAGAAGAGTACTGTTTGATCTGAACGCTACTTTCGCGCGATTCGCGGCTTAACGGAGTGTATAGTCGCGAATACATAAGCCTGGCGCACATTGGCATGAACGCCGATCGTCGCGTATATGTCGTACCGCTGAGTAATATGGCGATACTTCCGCAGTGGGCGCTATGGGGCAGGCTATGGGCATAACGGTGCGCACGGCGCGTCACGCATATGCGTGCGTGATGTCACTGAACCTGGAGCAGCAGCAGCAGCAGCAGCAGCAGTAAGAGCGAGTGCACGTATATACAAACTCGCAAGAATACCACGCGACTGTTGCGTCTTGTCGCTTTGTGTGCTGTACTTTACATGTACCGAGATGTATTTCTGCATCGCACGCGCTTCATCCATTTTTCTTACGCGTCCACAAGACTGTGCGACAAATTTAAAATTACAAAAAACTCACGGAAAAATAATCGATAATGATCTCTGGAGTACTGCCAACTTCCGGACCAGAAGAGAAGATTGTAAATCTTGTGAGAAAAAAATACTTGAAAATTGAAATATGCATACAAAAAGTACGTAGATTGTTCATTCGGAAACGCCATAAAATTTACGTGACCGCGCGCGTGCTTTTTCGGCATGAACGTTGAAGGGTCGGTTGTTCCAAAAAGAAAAGGAACGGAAGAGGATCGATGGGCGTGGAGAAGCAGCTGCGTTGCATCACGCGTGCACCCGCCGCACGGACATTAAGATGCGCGTTGTATTTCGTCGGCGTAATCTTTACAATGCGGCGCGTGTCTTCGATCATATCTCGCTCGGGGAAGCGCAGTGACTCAGGATATGTGTCAACGACGATGTGTCGTCGAATTTCTCGCTCACGATATTGACCGCGATTCCGCTATATTTCCAAATCGTTACATTTCTTAAAGACATCTGTATA